GAAAGAGAAGGTGGCCCCTGGAGGCCCGCTCCCGCTCTTCGTATTGACATTTCTGTATTTCAGATTTGCTCCCCTCGGAGGGAGAAGGAATCCCTCCCCATTTCGGGCCTTCAATGGGGTTGGGGGGAGGCGACCACCCCCACCCCCACCCTTATTCCCCCCACTCTGCTCCGAGACTCTCCCACACAAGGAGGGAAACACCTTCTCTGCGCCTCCCCCTGTCAATATCGCCCTTAAGTTCAGAAGGTAAGGCATTTAGAAGGCTGGCCTGTATTTGGGAGAGGGCGGAGTATAAAAAATAGGGAGGTCTTGCAAGGAAAGGGGCAGGGTCAGGCTATTTGGCCCATCGGGTCTGCTCCATTACTCAATTGTGGCCGATCTATTTCTCAACCCCAATCTCCTGCCTTCTCTCTGTAACCCACGATCCCCTTACTCATCAAAAACTGGTCTGTCGATGGAGTTACACAGCGCGGAAACAGACCCTTCAGCCCAACTCATCTGTGCCATCCAGATATCCGAAATTAATCTCATCCCATTTGCCAGCGTTTGGCCCCTATCCCTCTAAACCCTTCCTATTCATGTCCCCATACAGACGCCTTTTAAATGTTGTAACTGTACCAGCCCCCACCCACTTATTCTGGCAGCTCGTTCCATACACGCACCACCCTCTGCGTGAAAAAGTTGCCCCTCAGGTCCCTTTCCCCTCTCACCTTAAACCTATGCCCCTCTAGTTTTGGACTCCCCCACCCCCGGGGGAAAAGACCTTGTCTATTCACCCTATCCATGCCCCTCATGATGTTATAAACCTCTATAAGGTCACCCCCTCAGCCTCTCTCACTCCAGGGAAAATAGTCCCAGCCTATTCAAACTGGTCAGCATGGACGAGTTGAGCCGAAGGGTCTGTTTCCACAGCTCGCGAACCCCTGGAGCTTCCTAGCTCAGAGACAGGGACACTCCCAGCTTGGGCTGCCCCTTTGCGATACACGAAAGTAGACACAGCAAGCTTCCACAATGAGCTACAGAATATTGCAGCTCGCAACTTGAGGCAGCACATAACTGCAGTAATGGAGCAGGAAGAGCCGTGTTTAGCGAAACAGCAGATAATATGATGTTACCCACGTCCTGTTCCTGTCCCCTGGGTTAATCAACATTCCTCACCCAACGCCTCACTGCTGTTTGCAATCTAACTGAGCCAGCAACTTCCTGTAGACCAGGCAGAGGAAGGTGAGCTGAGGCCGGGGGAGCAGAGGGGGGGAATCATTCAGGACATTTCAAGGGAATAATCACCTCAGCCAGGGAACAGCAGCCCCCCTGTCCTGGGAGTGTTTGATGGGGGGGACAGTGTAGAGGAAGCTTTACTCTGTATCTAACCCCGTGCTGTCCCTGTCCTGGGAGTGTTTGATGGGGGAACAGTGCAGAGGGAGCTTTACTCTGTATCTAACCCTGTGCTGTCCCTGTCCTGGGAGTGTTTGATGGGGGGGGACATTGTAGAGGGAGCTTTACTCTGTATCTAACCCCATACTGTTCCTGGTAGTGTTTGATGGGACAGGGTAGAAGGAGCTTTACTCCGTTTCTAACCCTGTACTGTCCCTGTCCGAGGAGTGTTTGATGGGGGGGACAGTGTAGAAGGAGCTTTACTCTGTATCTAACCCCGTGCTGTCCCTGTCCTGGGAGTGTTTGAGGTCAGGCAGCTTTGGTGTGAAGTTGGTGATGGAAGGACAATTTTGGGAGACAGACAGAAAGGGCCAGAAAAGTTGCAGGAAACTGTTGTTTTATTAATTACAATATGTTCAGTTGACAGTATGTTCTGACTGCTTGTGTAGCAGTGCATTTATCTGCATAGTTGAAGCAGCTTGTGAATGACCACTCGATATCTGTTCCCTATTACATACACACACGCACACACGCGCGCGCACACACCCACTGAGACACGGACACACACCCACTCACACAGAGATGGACACACGGATACGAGCGGGGGCGCGCGCGCACACACACATACACACACACTCACACAGAGATGGACACACTGATACGAGCGGGCGCGCGTGCACACGCACACTCACACAGAGATGGACACATGGATACGAGCAGGCGCGCGCGCACGCGCACACACACACACACACACACTCACAGAGAGATGGACACATGGATACAAGCGGGCGCGTACACACACACACACACACACTCACACAGAGATACGAGCGGGCGCGCGCACACACACACACACGCGGATGGGGACACATGCTCATGCACACAGTCAGTGTTACAGCACCTCCTGAACAACAGGCTGACATGGTGGAGGTGGGTGTTGGTGGGGGGGGGGGGTGTGGAGGTCAGTACAGTGCCGTTGATAGACGCATCAGACACACCAGTAGCAACCATGGTGCCCTCTCTCAGGCCCACACAGTGCCACTCCCTTTCTTCCTCTGGCCAACACCACCTTCATGTCACTCAGGGGCAAGCCAAGGAAGTGGGCTGCTCAACTCGGGTAGGCAGGACACTGCAGCCAGGGCTGTGCTCATGCCCGTGTAGAGAGAGAACAGGGCAATGATCCCCGAGAGGGATTCCCTTTGATATTTGTCCCACCTCCCCCTATCACCTCCTATGAACTCGCCCCCAGAGGGTCCACCCGAGGGTATTTTGAGCATGGCGGAGGGGTGGGGGCGAGGGGGATTATGAAACCAGTTGGCGCTCAGCAAATGCAGCGATGGAGATCACCACCCTGCTCCCCTCCCCTCTCCATTTACCCCCTACCCCAGAATCCACCACAGCAGAATGGCCTAGTCATTGCACAATGCCCAAAGGAATTCCGAGGAGAGAGCAGGGGGCAGCGACAGCAGGGAGCTGCTACCGCGTGAGAGGGAGGGAAGGGGGGGAAAGCGCAAGAACGAGAGAGAGAGAGAGACACACCAAATTCACTGGCTCCCACTGCCCACACACCGTAGCCCCCACTCCCCTCTCTTTCCAGCCCCAACCCATCCACGCTCCAGAGACGGAGTGAGGCAAGCGAGAGAGAGAGGGAGCGACAGCGCGAGCGAGACAGCGACAGAACGATAGCCAGCATGAGCGTGAGACAGCAATGGGGAGAGCGAGCGTGAGACACTGACGGAGAGAGAGCTTGTGAGATAGCAATGCGTGGAAGTGAACGCACGAGACAGTGACGGTGAGACAGCAGGCGAGGGCCAGAGAGAGAGCGTGGGAGAGAGCAATGGTGGGGGGGAGAGAGAGCGCGCACGGGAAAGCGCGACAGGGGAGAGACAGACAGTGTGGGAGAGAGCGGCAGGGGAGAGAGAGAGCGCGCGGGAGAGAGCACGAGGGGGGAGAGAGAGAGAGCGCGGGAGAGAGCACGAGGGGGGAG